ATAGTTACCACTACGATTTAAATAGCTATTGAGTGCTTACAAATATTTACAGGGTTATTCCAATTAATTACAGTTATTTAAAACAATGACCGTGTAGTGGCCTTTATACTCACACAAGTTATTCTTACTGAGGTCTCCTCCGTGGTTTTCTTCAGTCTGTCTCGACAAATGCCGTCATAGCCCTTGAAATAGGCCAGTCACCCGCTTCTGAATTCCCACCGACACGAAACACGTATATGACAGCGTCGTTAAATAACTTAAGTGCTTATCAATCACATAGGGAACCTTCTGGTGTCCTTTTGCTTCATACCTAAGAGGTCTCGTTTCCCCCTACCCACGGGACAGAATATAAATGAATATAAAACTTGAAAGCAACAGATGACTTTGGGGTAAATATCAGCGCATATTAGAGGATAATATTAAAGTGAATCATCAGCAAATAGGATTAAAGAACATTTTCGTGCTCTTGTAAACACGGCATTGAACCTTAGAGTTGCATGAAACGCAGGTAATTTATCTATTAGCTGAATGTACTATCAGCTTCTGAAGAAGGGCTTTCTCCATTAAATCTGATTGGTTATGACATGCGCCAACACAGAGGATGAAGAGACAAGTGGAACGAACTAGTTGCTCTGAGCGCGGTGCCAGTCCGACACTGATCCAGTTGTCAGTGCTCGGAGATGGGAAGGGGTGGTGGTTGTGCCAGTCTTCATCCCCAAAGCGAGGGGCGGGGAGATATAAAAAAAATTGTGACGTCACGTCACAGTTTACCCAACACTCAATAACGCATGACTGACCAGATATCCCGCGTTTTAGACTGCGTTTCAATAAATATTCAGATCTGCGTAGATACCTTAGACGCCAGGACTCTCGTGTAATTCAAATTATTACAAAAGAGACTGATCCTTAAATCAGTCAATGACGCTGTTTCTACTGCATTCCTTATGAGATGGGAAGATGATAATTATAAATAACGAACCAGAAACAATTTAAACAGAAGTCTATGTTAAGGTGTCACAACAGCATTTGCGTGGACGGACTGAAGAAACTCACGAAATATTTCCGTAAAATAAAATAGCACGTGTCCCGGCCGAGTTCGAACCGGGTCTCCTCCGAACAAAAATCTCCAAAACCTGTCGTCAGCATAAGTAAAGCTAAAGTTTTCGCGTCACCTCCATGTTGTTACACATTCCACAAAGAAATTTCCACAAAAAAACATTACATTTATTAGAAGATCTAATACAGAATTACACTCAAAAATCCTCGTACATTCTAACGGTTACCATGTCAGGATTATTGGATAAAAAAGAAAGAATAATGACAATGATTTTTGAAATATGTATCAGCTGGTTCAAAATTTTTAGGAGTGGCGAAAAGAACGCGATACTTCATTCCTACTCTCCACCAAAAACAGGGAAAGTACGCTCAAAATTAACTGAATACGTCCTTTAACAGATATCTCATCCAATATTAATTTGAGTTCTCTACACGTATGTCCAGTTCGCCTTGAATCTGCTCCTTACAGCTGAATTAATAATAAAAAATTCAGTCTCACTCCGAACAACATGCATCTATGAATTATTACACCTTTATATACGTACGTATATATAACACAGGAACGTCTTTTGGATACGTCATCTCTCATCTGCATTCTGCACCAAACAGTGAGACATTTATTTTGAGGGATTTGACTCTGCCCTGCAGTAAACAATCCAACACACAGTGTGTTTAAAGTAACGGGAACCACCTCATTTATAGGCCAGACACAGCAGACGTTAGATACCGCTCTAGCCTTTGTCGGAATATGCTTGAATTGAAGACAGCCATTTCGGCTAAAGACTTGCGCGTTACGGGGAAGAATTAGTCAGATTATTCGAAGAGGAAAACGTACTGAATTCGTCTTTACTTCATGAAATCACAGGCCCATAAAGGACGGCCTTTCCGCTGAAATAAATAATCGTCACAATTAATTTTCAGACAGTATCTAACGCAGTTTAGACGTACGAGGTGCGATCGGAAAGTTTAAAGACTGCGCCTATTAAAACAAAATTAATAATAATAAAAAAACCGTACACTTATCTCAGGTATTAAATTCATCCATCACCCTCGAAGTAGTTCCCCTGGGAGTGAACACAACGATCCCAACGCCGCTGCCAAGCCTGGAAGCATCCCTGGAAATCTTTCTTTGTCAGCCTGTCAAGCACCATCTGCGATTCTGCCTGAATCTCTTCTATCGTCTCAAATCTCCTTCCCTTTACCTGAATTTTCTTCTTTGGGAAGAGGAAGAAGTCACACGGAGCTTAGAAAGGAAGGTGGGGTCGGTTCTTGCAAGATCTTTCAGCTCCTGACAAACGAGAAGTCGATTCTGCTTCTGGTCCTCAGACAGGAGCCTTGCGTCGCATGTGGAGTTCTTCCTTTAGAATCAGCTAACAGGTCCCATAGCCTATCCCAACAATGTCGCACAAATCGTTGATGGTACGACGTCGATCTTCGTAACAGTTTCGGGCGTTGTGCTCGAAGATGGTCGTCCAGAACGCTCGTCATCATCGACAGAGGTTCGGCCATTTTTAAAACGTGAATGCCACACAAAAGTTTGTGCACGACCCATTGCGGACTCCCCAAATGCTTGCTTTAGCATTTCACAGGTTTCCGTAGCCGTTTTGGCGAGTCTTTGGCAAAATTTGATGCACACGCCATTCCGAAAGCGCAGGAGGGTCGGTGTAATGCACTACCAAAACGCCCGTAACTAAGAAACAAATGCTAATTCGATGATGCCGGCTGGCACACTGATTCGCTATGAATGTAGGCCGCACCCCCTAAAGGCAGAAGCTCGTACTACATCCGGTTCGCCCTCTATTGACACAGTCTTTAAACTTTCCGATCGCACCTCGTATTTCTGATCGACTTATAAAACGCTATAAACAACTACTTCGAAACAAATCAATCAACCTATAATATAATAAACAAATTATAAAGATCTATTTACCCGTATTTAAGCCACAGACCCATTCTTTTTTACGACAAGTCTTCTTGAAACTTTAGAAGTCTGATTCGATTTTATTTCTAATCGTGTGCTAACTTACAGCTGGAAATTACACGCAGTCTATCGTGTCATATTTAAACAAAAAATATGTACGAAGTTAGCAGTTCAACAAATCACGGTCTATAAAAACATTTCGGTAATACGAGAAATGTTTCTCGGGGTTTTCCAAGTAACTCCGTGAAGGAGTCCTCGGGAGGGCAAAAATCACTGACGGTACTCGAAGTTTCATTACCCTGTTCACAACCCCAACCAGATCCCGACCGATCTAGTCCACGAATCTCTCATTATGCCCTTGTCTCCTGTCACCTTCATCTTTATAACAACATTCTCATATGAAATTCACACCGCACATGATTGCCCTCGTGCATGGCTTATGCATACAAATCGGAATCATTACGTCAGATCGATACATTAACATCGATTTTTGTCTGCGAAGAAGAAGCAGGTGTCGACTCCCACTGGGACAGTGAGGCGAGATGGCAGGGGGGCTGGAATGCAGACCTGCACGGGGCTAGTTCATGTTATACTATTTATCATGAATAAATGAGGTTAGAGCAGCGATCAATCAACGTCATGATGTATCCATGCGCTAGACTGCCATTTCGTGTTGGAAGATGGAGGCACCGGATGAGGAGTGCTGCGGATGAAGACAGTCAAGTCGGGATGAGAAACAGAGAAACGAATTGAAACGAATTAAAACTCCCCCCCCCCCAAAAAAAAAAAGACAAGCGGAATCTCCGTGACAACTATCAATTGGTTAATGCTGTTTAAGGAGACGTTAAATGTTAATTCTCAGACTCTAGGAAACCGGCAAAGATTCTGAGTTACTGAACATTATAGATACCGCTATATTTTAACAAGATTTAAAGCAGTATCACACGATTTGTGGTAAGTTAAAAATATTTTTTTGGAAGGAATTAAGTTATATATCTATATTATGTAGATAAGAATATACTGAGATAGAAGGCACGAGAACAATAAGAAAGAGTTATGTAAATAGTATTAGGGATTAAGGAATAGTCATGTAGAGTAGCATTAGTGAATAGTTGTAGTAAGCAGTAGTGCTAATAGTGCTACGTATGTAAGGACTGTGGCCGTGAAAACCTGGTGTTAGGCGGCCACAGATCTCTGTATATAGTCTAAACCAAATATATTATATTATATTATATTATATCCTGATTTGAAAATACTTTGTCAGCAGAAATTAAATCCAGATTGAAACGTCTTTAACACATTTTAATAATATTAGTCAGTCTAAAATAAATTATATATAGTATTTGTCTAGTTTCTGCTTTAAAGTGTATTTTAAAAATGGGTTCTCCCCCCCCTCCCAGTGGTACATATTTATAAAATCAAAAGTTATAGCACGTAAATTAGTTTATCGTCTAGATGACAAATTCTCTTGTGAAATACGAGGTTATCACGGCGCTAAAGATGCAGATTGTGGTCTTATACCACTTACAAAAACACAAGGCATATCCACTCAGAAGACCAGAGTCGGCATACTTCCGCTTTATTCCCGCCTAAAAAAATTGTGTTTCATCAGTAATTTTTTTAATCACAGGGATAGAATCAATTTGGCCGTCCTCTCGCTCATAGAAAATGGAGAGCTGACGAAACTCAAGAACCGGTGGTGGTACGACAGAACGGAATGCAAGCACAGTGACAAACAGGCAAGTATTACACATCTTTTTTAATATTATCACATTTCATTAACGTTTGAATTCGAAAAAGTGGCACATCTCACAGGCTCTGTGTGTTGATCTTATTACTGAAACAAGCAGAGCGAAATTTTGCAAGTGTTTCTAAGATCTTCCTTGAAGAATATGTCAGGACGTCTTGAAGAAGCGTTCTCAACTCCAACAGTCGCACCCTCTCGTTCAAAGATGACAAAATACCAAGAGAACTGTTGAACCATCAACGTCTTCCTCCACTAATTTCTCATCATATTCTGGATGTAAACATGACAAGTACATTTTAATAATATCATCACCATCATCTTGGTCAAAATTATCTATTAATTTATCGGCGTGTTCTGATTAACTTTCTTATTTGTGATTTCGTCTCTTTTTGCTACAATTCAGATTTTTATATACGCCTATTCCCAATTTTGTTATTAATATTAAAATTATAAATTCAATGCAGAATTTCAAGTTGATGAAGCAGGAATTTGCTCTTTATTTTGAAAAAAATACCTTTTTTATATAAAATATAGCAGACATCAAACAGCTTATTAATTTATGGTGGGACGAACTAAGGATGATAAAATTTTCTGTGCCAATCATTTCACCCACCCTATATTTATTAATCCCACATGTAAATATACCAATCCCAACTAATGCAAGGATTTCTCACGTTAATCATTAAATTATCACGATGTTCCAAATTTATTTTGTACAATCAGCCCTATAACTGTATCGTCAGTACCAGTTCACATGTACAATCATCCATATAACTGTATCGTCAGTACCAGTTCACAGGTTAATTTTCCAACACTTCACACAAATAAAAATCGACCTCTTAATTATCTTCTGAGATAGGGCGGAGGACAGCATATTTTTCGATAATAAAAGATAAAACTTTTTTAGACCCCCCCTCCCTCATTTATTCTTCTGAATTGTCAACGACTGAATCTACTCTTGCTGATGGTTAATAAAATTTCAACTGCCAGAGAATACAAAGACGGATGTCGTCCGGGAAGCCGCGCTGTGTAGTTTGGTAAATAATGATCGACGTTCAGAAAAGCTTCTCTGAAACGTCGGTCCGTATGTAACAGAATACACAGAAGACAGCCAGAGTATTCCGTGCCAGTCAGCGTGAGATGCCCGGATCTCATCTGGCAGAAGAAATCACTTCACTGAGTGGTCCCTCTATTTAAAAAGTTCGGGCCCCTTTCCTTTCCCGACTTGGGAACATCAGACGTAAGGAAAAAAACAATTTCATAATGTGTAGTAGAACGTTCGCAAGGGACGCTTTTTTTTTAACTTCCCTGAATAAGACACGAGATGCTGTTTGCTGGGAAACATTAGTTCGAATGAAACGTCAGTTACTGTCATCTCTTCATTTCTTCTGACATTTCGCCTTTTCTGATAACTTGACTCAAACGTCAGGGTCGTGATATTCGTTCTCCCTCCCAGTTTCTGCTTATACCGACATATATAGATCTAATTTATTCATAAACTCAGTATCTACATATCTTACAAAGAACATTTTGTTATCACACACAGTTCATGAACACCAATCACATTCGCAGACGTTTTCAGAATATTATATAATAAAGAGGCCTCATAATTTTATCTTATCCTCTTTAAATATTATTATAACAACACAGGCAGCAAGGGCTTATGGGGAAGGACACACAAGCATGGTAGAAATGCCTACAACATTTTATTTGGAAAACCTGAGGCGAAGAGGTCGCTTCGGAAACTTATTCTTAAATGGGAGGATAATATTAAATCGCAAGCGAAATAAATATATACCATTATGAATGTGGATTTCACTTAACCAATCAATACTCAATATAAGCATCGTTTATTTCAAGCATATAAGGTTCCTTAAGTCTTTCCGTGATGAGAGTTTAACAGGAAGGTATTATTAATTTTATATTTCATGGTAAATTACGTCACTATTCACTAGTAAATCCACACACCAAATACAAACGTACACACGTCTATAAAAAGGACCGGTTTTCGGGTCCTAAGTTACATAAATTATCTACTTTGTTTCATGGAATGTGTTAAGTGAAGTTAGGTTTGCTGAGGATTTGTCAAGGATATTACAGCTCTTACTAAAAGCTTGACAAGGGTTCTTGATGACAGTAACAAAGGCAGTACCCGAAACGTCGTTATGACACGTTATGTTATGGTATGTACCAAAGGACACGATGGTATTTTGTGGTGTCTGGTCCACAGGACGCATCACGAAATGAACTGTCTCTGAGTAATGTAGCGGGCATCTTCTACATCCTGATAGGAGGCCTGCTGCTCGCTATGGGAGTTGCTCTACTGGAATTCTGCTACAAGTCACACACAGAAGCATCACGAGCAAAGGTAACCGTGGCAAGCCACTGAAAAACCTCCCTGTCCGCGCACTCTTAATTTGAAATAGCAAATCAACATTCAAAGTCATAATAAATTGATGTAATATTTATTTTTATTAGCAATTAATTAATTATTGCTACGTTTTTGTCAGTTTTATACTGGTGATTACATTAACTGGTGGGTGAAACCAGATATACGATTGCAGTTAAATTCATCAAAAGAATCTATGTACTACTGCAGTTATGTTCATTATAACTGGCTTCTGTAACTGGATTTATATACAGTTATTTAAATATCTGGTACAATACTTAAGCCAGTTCCTGGAGAGATTATTTGGAGCAGGATAAATATTCATACTATAATTTCATTCTAAGCAATTTATGAAAGTAAGAAAGTCTGATTAAGTAAACTAAGAAACAGAAGGTTATGCTGGATTAAACAAAACTTATTTTACAATGTAGTAAAACTATAACAGAATAGTCTATATTTAATTACTGTGTTAAAGGTATATAATTGTGCATTAAACATCAGCGTCAGAACAATGTAATTACTAAGATTTACCACTGCAATGTCTGGTCTGCGCAAGACGAAACTACACCAGTATTTTGTAAAAATTAATGGTAACGCGGTTCGATAAACTATTCACTGCAGTGACATCGCGGGTTTATGACAAACGAGTTTCGCGAATAACTACCGCGGGTCCTATGCTGTCCAACTGAGCGAGTAATTATATGGAGGTCACGACATTTCCCAAGTTAGAAAAAGTTTAACTTAACGGCCTTATATTTCAATACTAATAAGAGTGAACAAAATAAACTTCCGCTAATATTTTCTTGTTATAACCTTTGTCTAACTGATCGCGTGCGTTTTCTCAGCGAGAGGCCTTAATTTGTAGCGCCCGGGGTCAAACTGCGCGGCCGCGGATAGGATACTGATGCCCCTCACGATACTGAAATAGAAGCAACGGACATTCTCAGAAGCGAGAAGCGTTAAGAGAGGGGAAATTTGCTTTGGCAGGGATCGACATTGACGGTGATAACTTGTGTCGCTCTTGCACGCAGATTCCACTGTCGGACGCGATGAAGGCCAAAGCCAGACTCACCATCGGCGGTGGCAGAGACTTCGACAACGGCCGGGTAAGTTTAACCGGAAGCTAGTTACTTCGGCACTCCGCTGCTGTGTGGCGCTGAACTCGTACCGCCTTGTGTCAGTTCCGTTTCCGGCCACGGAACAAAGGCTAGAGGAATTTCAAATCATCATTTGGTTTTTATCATTAGATTTTCTTAAGGATTTGATTATTATTGTTTTTCATCGGGTTAATTTTCACGTCTTCATTTCCCTTCTCTTTCATTTTCTTGTCCCGTTTCTCCATATTTGTTTCTTTCTTCAGTTCTACGGGCAGAAGGACAGTGACAGAATGCGCCAGTCACCTGTGTGGAGTATGACATCGAGTGAGTACTAAAATCCCCGACACAATTAAAACAAAATAAAACCTAAGCGTCACTTTCCTTTCCACAGAAAGAACACTCCAACCTCCATTCATCACACGACCCCTTCATGCACCCAAGCATTCATCAGGCCCTCTTCCGTTTCCGCCATTTTTGCTCCAAATTCATCGTTCAAAAATCGGAATCAAAAACTCACATTGACGGGATTGTGAGTTACGAGCAAATTCTCTGTCTCAGTAAAAAGTGTTTCTTCCTGACAAACACACATACAAAATAACACGAAACTTGAACTGAATAATAATCCAGTTCAAGTTAATTTTGGTCTTCTTGATTGTATCGCCTCAGAGTCTTGTAGGTGGTTACTCACATTTCGGAAGAACATAATTCCTCCATCTTCAAGGTATCAAAATAGAAATGTTAAGTTTATGACCACCTACACGGTGACACCCACAAACACGCAGAGGTCATAAAAAACATTTGCAAGAGTTATGACATCTGCACAGTGCCATTACATGGAATCAGAACCATTTTTCTTAAAAGGTCAGATAATTCAAAACTGTCAGATTTAATCTTAAAGTGAATGACTAATTCAAGGCTGACGATAAAACATGAAATTATCCCAAAGATCTAGATTTTTTAAGAATGTGGATGTCTTCTTCAATGCTGCGATGATCGCCCTGATGATAGAGGCTGTAATTACCTGAGAAAGGTCAGTCAGTATGTAAGAGACTAAGCGGGAGTTAAGACCCTACAAAACAGAAATCTTGATGTCATGGACTCCCTGGAACACTCGTTTCGATTTTCCCCATTAAACACGGTAACCGCAAACACTTTATCGACCTGAGCACCGCTGCTTTGCATATAACCCTTTAAGGGTCATGCGATCACAGTCTTGAAGAGTTGCGTGAGAGAAACACGCCAACTCTCCACTTTGACATGAGATTTTTTACTTTAGAACTGCGATACCAGGCACGACACGGGCAGCGTTTCCGTTACGTCAGAAACATGACGCGATTCTGCTGTCATCTGTTCGTGGAGGCGCGACGGCAACATGCTTAAGAAACCAACATCTTCTTCAAGTAGTTACGCGTGACATTGCCCCGGAGCGTTTGTCAGAATTTCGCATCTGATCTTTGAACAAAGTAGCCTTACGTCAAACATCATCTACCATAATTTTTAATTCTGATCTACACTAATTTGTTTCTAACATAACGCACTCCGTGGAAAAGAATCCTTCACGAGAAGCTGATGGTCGCTCAGCAAGGCAAGAAATTCACTGCCTTTTTTTATTATTATTATTATTATTTATTTGACTGCAAATGGGTTTTTACCCGGTGGCAGTGGTCCTACAATAAGACACAAAACAATAAGACACAACAAAACATAAGACAACAAAAACAATAAGAAACAACAGAACAATGAGACAGAACAAAACAATAA